CCGACTCCACTGGGTAAGCCGCAAACAACTCACCGTGTCACACTCAAGCTCCGAAGCCGAGTACATTGCTGCCAGTCACGCAGCACGTGACCTTACGTGGCTCCTACAACTGGCCAAAGGTTGGCACATTCCACTGTGTGGGGATGTCCCGATCATAAACCTCAGCCCGCCCACCCTTTGCCTCGACAACAAAGTGGCTATCGACATGGCGAATACGAACGGGCCTACAAAACAGACCAAGCACATAGACATCAAGCACCATTATATTCAGGAACAAGTCAACGCCCGCCTCCTACGCCTACGACAAGTCCCCACAGCAGCACAACTTGCGGATATATTCATCAAACCACTCGAAAGAGTGCTGTTCACCCGTAACATGGCAGCAATCAACCTGCACGCCACCACAATCGAGGGGGGGTGTTGACCTCTCACACATGGACTTCGATTATGGTGCCGTACATGCCAACCACTCACACATCATATCATACTGTGGAGGACAAACTGTCCTCACCTCCGTCGTACTGCAGGACGAAGAGTATAAGTAGACTCGAGTCCGTCCGGTAGACCAAAAGTAAATAGAAGCTAGAGTTCTTGGACAACACTCGCCCCGCCATCACACGGGCGCGGTTAGGGCGCGCCTCGCCGCGCACGGTATCGCGCATGCCGTGTGCCGCACCTTGTCAGTCGTGTCCACGGGTCCAGCTGGCCACGTTGCGTCGTCACACCGAGCAACACCCGGCAGAGCCGCAGCCTCCTGTTTACAGGTTACATAACCTGGTGGTTACAGTACAAGCATGGCGCGTATCATATCCCATGCATACTTGTACTGTACAAGGGTACCATCTGTGGAGCCGCGCCCACCGCACCCGCCGTCCACGTCGCCACGTGTACGGCCACGAGCCGCGCCCCACTCACCTTCATTGCCGCCTTGTGCTCGCCGCCTTGCGCTCGCTGCCCCGCCCCGCCTCGCCCTCGCTCTCCACCCACAAACAGCACGATGTAAACCCTTGGAAATCACAAACTTTTATGATTTGAAACTTTTGATTACGTATATTGAATATTATCAGAGTCTACGGTGCGCAAACAAGCACCAAAGCCTTCTCAAACTTGGCCCAGACTTACCAAAAGTCGCAATCAATCATCAGCATCCCACCTCGCTAGCTCATCTTGTCCACGTCAAACATTCCTGACCCACACCCCTCACAAAACCCAAAATAATCAGTAATATTACGGCTATAAGTCAAAGAAAACGCTTAACTCGCGAGCTTTTCTAAACTTAATTGACTTGCTCATCGTTTACTAACTTATCCATCCATCCAGTCACCCTATTGAAATGCAATTTTTCTTTCATTAAGCTGCCCAACACCCGAGCTTATGTGATTGAGGACGAACCA